GTTGGCTTTGCTTTTCATTGTTGCTTTCAAAACCTTATTCCTCTGCTTGTGGATGGAAATAAATCATGGGAGAAAAGTGTGGAGAAGCTGCCACTAAATGAGGGAAATCCTTGATTCACCAGCATGAGCAGCCAGTCAGAGAGCTCTCCAAAGGACTTCCTCTGATGCAGAACTGGCTGTACAGCTGCAGATAAGGGCACATTCAAGCCAATGTTGTGGGACCAGTAGAGCTAACATTTTCCTCAGTCTGACTTTTATACATGATTTTTTTTTTTGGATCTTGTTGTATGTGGGATTATTATCTGATTATTGTGTTTGTTTTCAAGGGGGATCTACATCACCGGCTCAAGCATCATTGGTGGTGGTGTCAAGGCTCCACGAATTAAAACCAAGAATTTGGTCAGGTAGGTTCATTCAAGAACAAAAAACACTCCTTCCAACCTTCTTTGCTTTTTGATACCTAATGGATAAGCAGCGTAAAATGACCCAGTGCATTCTGAATCAAGAGCTTAAATATACAGTCTGATGTTTTTATATCTGTAACTTCTCAAATTAGAAGTGCAGCTTTGAACAAGTGCAGGGGAGCTACATAATTGCACTGTGCTAATAACACTTTAAGTAAAACCAACATCAGGAAAACACTGCGTCCTTTTATTGGCCATCGCAAAACTGTGACTAGCATCGACAAGTGACTTTCAGGCTAGCCAGTAAATTATGTCATTTTATGGTTACTTGAGAGATCCATTTGCAATCTAATTATTTCTCACTCTTTGTTTATTTTTGTATTTCTCCCTCTAGCATCATCTTCTGTGAAGCTGTAGCAATCTATGGGATCATCATGGCAATTGTAATCAGCAACATGGCGGAGGTAAGCATTAAATGTTTTTCTTGTTCCTGATGAAGAACAATGTGAATTTATCTATTTTGTCTCTAGAGGTTATTGGAGACAGGAGCACTGTACATGAAACGGTACCGCCTGTATTAAATAATTATACATATGGGACATTAAGAAGTTTAATATAATTTCAACAACAGTGTGAGGATGTTTTCTCTATGGCTCTAAAAAAGAATCTCTTTCATTTTATAGAGCTTCAGCGGAACAACTCCTGAGACCATTGGGGCAAGGAACTACCAGGCTGGTAAGAAAACAGAACTAAAGCTACTGAAAGAAACACATAAATGAAAAATCCTCTCAAAAAATGTTGGGTTTTGGGCGAATCTTTAAAAATCCTATAGACCCCAAATGCATTTTCACTCAAAAAATATTAGGCTTAAAAATACGGTAGTACTACTTTTTAATAAAAATTGCCCTTCCAGACATTTGAAGACATCAGAACAAGTTTCTTTTAAATTAAATTAAATCAACTATTTCTCCAAACCTGACAGGGTGTTTTAATTATGAAGAATAAGAAACTATGCTATGATATACTGCGGGATTTATTTATAGTTGTGTGTTTGTTGTATACACTTACATTTATATAGCCCCTTTCATAAACCCAAGGATGCCATTTGAATGTATGTGTGTAGACTACTGGAAGAATATCCAATGCTAGTGCTTATGGAGAACATTGTTAAGAAATTGAGGAAAGAGACGAGTGTGTACGTCTCTTGTTGGTTTTTGTATTTTTGATTGACCTTAAAAAAAAGGAGTAGCTCTACTCATCTCATTGTACCTGTATAATGACAATAAAGGATTCTATTCTATCTATAAAGTACTTATTCTTTCTTTCTCACAAAGGTTTCTGACTCATTTGATTTGCGTCCCACCAGGTTACTCTATGTTCGGAGCCGGTCTGACTGTGGGCTTCTCCAACCTCTTCTGTGGCATCTGTGTCGGCATCGTGGGCAGCGGAGCAGCGCTGGCAGACGCCCAGAACGGCAACCTCTTTGTGAAGATCCTCATTGTGGAAATCTTTGGCAGTGCAATTGGCCTGTTTGGTGTCATTGTAGCCATTCTGCAGGTTACTACGCCTTCATTATCGTTCTTCTTCTCCTTAGCAGAGGAAGCTATCCACGGCTTTTGTTTGCAGCTATAGGCTTTTGTTATTGACCATTGCTGCAGAGCTCTGACAAATGTCATTGCAAAGTCTAACTGGATCTATATTATGTGGATGTTTCTTTATTTGAAATTGTAACAACGGTTTTCTTTTTCCTCCCTCAGACATCGAAAGTAAAGATGGGTGACTAGAGGATGCACTCCCACGCTGAGAAGATAAAATGACACTGCTGGAAAATAAGATGGATTATTGTGTAAATACATCGTAAATTATTTAAATGTCTCTATTTGCCTGGTATTGTTTTTAACCATCATTTATGCAAGAGTGGTACGTCCACAACCGACTGTCTCGTGTTGAGAGAAACATCAATGTTGAAAAGGAAAAGTGAAGGAGAAAATCACGAGATGCCAGTGTACCTTTTTCTGTGCATTTCTTGATGTAAACGAGTCCCTGTGTCCCTCCTTCAGTTCAGCTTGATGCGTAGTACAAGCAGAATGTACATGGATTTTACATCCACTAACATCAGCCTGTCTGTAGACCTGACCGCTGTAAATACAACTTGCAGCCTTATTATTTTGAAGTTGGGGCATTTTCATGACATCCTTTATCTCGGGCACTTGATGAATAATGAGTTAAAAATGACACCAGCGTATTTGAAAATATTTGTGTGTGTGTGTGCGTGTGTGTATGCTGGACATGTGATCTTTCATTTTTTCCTGTGAAGCATGAGGGTGTTTACCATTGTGTGTGTTACTGTAGCCTGGTTTTCCTTTTTTTCTGTTTTTCTAACTGTTCTTTGGTAATAATAAGCAAGTGGTCCTTAATCTGCACAGTGGCCCAAATACAGTATTTGTCAGGTCTCTCGCTGTAGAAGTGACAGAATCGGAAGTTTTGAATTGGAGCACTGATCTGAAATCTTTAGTATGGTCACTGAAGAATGCTCCAAGAGAGGCTTAATATAGTAAGATGACAGCCAAGCCGCAGCCCTGCTCTAAATATGTCATCCTGTCAGTCAGTTCCCCAAAATGTTTTGGAGCTTAGATGTCTTCATTTGGATCCATGAGTCTCCTGAACATATCTGCGTGCTATAACTTCCTTGTTCCCCAGAGTGTGCTAGTTTTAATAAGGTTCCTTTTTCTGTCATTTTTAAAAGGATGAATTAGAAATAAACTTTACTTAGGGGAAGTCGAAGTTAACAAACAAAAATGGCCATCTGAGTCTCATGTCCCGATTCAACTTCTATTATCTTAGCCAGCAAAGAGGAATTCATTTTTAGAGAGGACCACCAGTTTACTCGAGGTCTTCAGAGGACATGTTTTGTACAGAAAGCTTCTCTGACTTTGATTTTCTGTAATCTCAGGAGGTCTGGCACCCAAAGCTATGGAGGCATAACAAACTTTACATCTACAGATTTGTAGGTATACTTATTTCACACAGAAATTGCATTCTACAAACCTTCACACTTGTTTATTTGTCTTTTCTTAACATGTCTGTTCTAGTCCGTTCCCAAATCATACATTCCTTATTAAAGTAGCTTCATGTGTGCAAAGCTGAGTCTTGCTTGGGAGTACAATGCAATTTGAATGACCAAATAAGACCCATGCTGCATCACAACTAAGCCATCAATACATCTGTCACCGAAGTTCTCATGTACATCACGCAAGCTGTGCAGTGTTAAGCTGTTTCCCATTGACCTGTAAAAAAGGGTTCTCGTTAGGTAACACTTTATTTTCTTGATGCATCATTCCATTCAGATAGATGACAGACTGTGGATTATTGGAAATTGTCTAAAATCTGTTCTGTAATTATCCCCCTCTGAACCTTAACGCTGGGAAACTGGATTGTCCTTAACATATCTTGGCCTGCCCTCCCAAAGGTGTCAAAGCAGAAGGATTGTATTTGCCCTGATGATGGATTTGAGATGTTAGCATAGCATTCCTTTGGTGAACCAGGCCCTGTACCAACCCCCAGGCTTTCAGTGAGTGTAGTTGGTACCGTGTGTGCATTATGTTGATGTGATGGTGAGCAGAAAATAAAGTCATTGTTTTTGACATTGTGTATGATAATAAAAGACCAGATCTTCCTTCTGGCTTCATAAATGTCACTGAGAAAATAAAATTGTTCAATCTAGATGTTTTGTTTCTGATTTGTTTGTGTCTTCTGATTGTAATCAGTCCTATAGCTACTGTATAACCAAGTGTCCAGTATTCATAAACAGTGCTGTGTACTGTACTCCGTTAAAATGTGAGCTGTAATGTTTGCATGCCTCCACTAGATGGAGCAGAGTACCAAAACATCTGTCCTGATTAATCTGCTGCTGTGCACTGAAACTCATCTTAGAAAACAATTTAGCTCACATCCCCTGTTATTATTCAACATAATATTAATTTGTTGATTTGCTTTTAACCTCGATTAAACTGTGAAATTGAATCAAGCAGACTAGCATCAGTATATCATTACTCATTCTCAAAATGATTGTTATGCCTATCTTATCACAGCAATAAAGTGCCTATTTGTGAATGTGTTTTGAGATGCCAGTTGTTTCAGAACCACTTCAGGGTTGACTAATGGCGTGTCTACGTGAAGGCAGATCAGAAATGAACTTGATTAACTAAATGGGAAGCAAATCCAATTGTCATAGAAATCCTTTAAATTATGGTTTTACACAAAAGACAAACAAAACAAAACATCTACGGTTTAATTATTTTGCGTATTATTTTTATTTTGCATTATGACTTACTCTATAACATCTGGATAATATCCTTTAAAATACAGATACAAGTCCATTGTAAGCTAAACAAAACCCTTAAATTGCATATTTAAAAATGTTAACTATCTAACATCCGGTATGAAATGCAATAAAAAATGTGTATTTTTAAAGAAATTATATGTTCTTATTATTTATTTCGTGTGGATTTCAGAGTAAAAATAGGTTGTCATGACCATGTTCCTTTCCATCAGACGAGCAGAAAGAAAAGCGAACGCATCCGGGCTTCCGTAGAAAGCAGGAGCGAGGGACCTGCTCACTGCCTCAGACTGAGAGCATCCTTTTTCTTTGCTTTCTTACCATCCTCACCAAAACACAGCGAGATGACGGAAAATCATGAGCATAGAATATCTCCACTCCCCGGTTTGCGGTAGAAATATCGTTACGGGTTAGCCGTTTATGGCTAGCGTAATGCTACACAACATGAGGCTGTCTTTTCTGATGAAGAACAGACATTATAGCCTGTCTCTGGAAACAAGAAGAATATAGTTCTCACTAGCATAGCGAGCTGGGCTGAGCCTCGAGCTTTCAGTGTTTTCTTTTTTACAAACACGCCTGACAACAAAATGCTCATTGACAGTTTTATTTTAATTGTTTCTCTTCGGCTGATGTGAATGACATCAGTGGGCTCCAGTAAAGAAGATGCACAGATAAAAGTGTCCTCTTGACAACATTAAGGTAGGTACTATATGTGCTTTCTGGGATGCATTGTTTCACTCGGCATCGCATCCACGCTTTTCCTTTGTTTCCTTTTAGCCTGCATGTATTTATCCTACAATCTTATGTTTTTATTCAAGCTTTGAATATTATGGGAATATTCTCGCATGCACTGCCCACTATCTCCTTGTGTTATCATTCACAGTTGATGAACTAGCAGCATCTTTCCACCCGCCATGCTAAGTTCCGCTGCTCCCTGCACTGCTCCTCTACTGTAAATGAGCCAGCGTACAGATGCTGGGGGGGAATATTCAGCCATGCAATATCGGTTTAATTCAAAGATTTAAAATCCAATTTCCCTTTTTCTCACCACATCTGTTTGAAATTGCTTGCACAGTTTCTCACCAAATGAAAAGAAAAAGATTCAAAGTCTATGGACTACACTACAGCATCTCTTGTCTTATTGTCTGGTCACAGCAGAGCACACTATGAGCAAAGTGTGCACAGCCAGCCTTACACTGGGGAAATGAGGGAGAAGTAAAAGAGGAGGAGGAGGAGGAGGGGTCTTCTTCATCATGAAGCTTAACCCAACCAGGCGTCTACACAGAAGCTCTGTACCTAAACCATAATCCAATCTGACATCGCTCTCATTCATGACACATCACCTCTTTAGGGCCATACAGGGCTATAGGAGCAAGTGGACTGGAGCTACCCCTCTTTGTGATGTAACTTAGTTCTCCAGGGCAGACTGGCCTCTGGTGTTTCATTTGCCTTTTGATGCTGTATTGTACACAATGTTTCATCATGTTACATTAAAGAGCCTGTGACACGAGTTTCCCCCATCATCCAAACCCATCAATTTGAGTAAATATTGTCCCCTTGAAAACCGTTACTGAACTGATTTTGGATATTTGTACTTTGATAACCATTAATCTGCCCTTCAATGTTGACCATTTCCTGGATCTGCTCGGGGATTCTTCAAGTCCCGCCAAATTACGTGTGACGTCATTGCGGGCACAGCGCTCCAGCTGCACCGTTCAGGATCCCAGCATCTGCATGTAAACGCACGATGGTGCACACAGCAGCAAGCTCAGACAGCGATGACAGTTTCATTTTGAACGTGTCTGAGAGCTCATATGAGTCTGAAGGATCGGTTTATGTTGTATCTGTTAGAAGTTTAGGAATTAGGTGCGTCAATATGGGCGATCATACGGTCATGTAGCCAGTGGTGGAATGGGCCTAAAAATCATCCCGGGACTCTCGACCGGCCCACTTCGGTACCGCTAGTAAGTTGTCAACGGGGGGATGTCAGGGGCGGCGGGTGCTGTAGATAGTAAATGTAAATATGTAAATATTTGTGTCACTGCATCCTGGTAAAATACAAATATAATGCAATGTCTGTGTCTTTGACATTAGCGCTGCCAGCCACCTGTGCCCTGTACTACGAAGCCAGTTCAACATACCCTGGATATGTTTGGGTAACAAACTAACTAATAACAACAAACGAACACACGAGATCTCGCTAAGCGGTCCTACGACGCTGGTTATTAACTCGGTAAATCAAGCCAGGGTTTCTCTCACCAGCTGAGAGCGCGTTCACTTCTACGACACGAGTGGATCTGACTTTAATTACATTTGACTCGAGTGTTTAGTCAACATAATGTGTTGCTTAAAATAATACTTCTTCATACAGTATGTGACACTGTAAGTGTTGCACGGCCAGATACGGCAGATAATGAAATATATGATATATTATGATATTATATGATCGATGATCTGATTGATGATGTAATATGCGACACGTCGGCGTCTTCTCTGCATAGGCCTACGGCAGTTTAAACTGTATTTCCTTTATCCTGTAATATGACTTGAGAGATTTAAACTCCGCACACTGAGTTGATCTCTTTTCTATAGACGCCGGAGGCGGGCAGCGTCAGGTAAAACAAGTTATTTAGCCTTCCCAAACCTGAGCCTCACGCGCCGCCTATGGGGGATGTGCTAGTGACTTATCCGACCGGCCCACTTCGGTACTGGCCCATCGGGATTCGTCCCGATGGCCAGTCCGCGACTGCACCCAGCCCACGTAAACTGTCAACGGGGGGAGCCTCGCTGCGGGGAAACGGTGGACCTAGTGTCCCGATCGGAGTGGGAATAATAATAATAATAATCCGTGCATTTTATCCATTAATTTCCCCAACATTGTGGTGAAAAAAACACACGTTTAATCCATGTTGGTGTACTACTACAAAAAGCATCGGTTTGTTTTCTCATCAGGAAATGCAGACCGGCACAAACAAACGATTTTTAATCATCATTCTCACGATCATTTAATGTATCATATGTTCGCCGAATTGACATGAAAGCACTAATAAATGTAGTTTCATCCACTTGAGTTTACAACTACAAAAGTAATCGATTTGTTTTTATATCACATCCTACGGGAGGAAATTCAGCAGCTCTCACTACCGATTTGTAATCCTAATGTAATCATCATCTTCACCACGATCATTTATGTTTATGTTCGCCGAATTGACATGAAAGCACTGACAAATATGAATATACTGTAGTCAACTTCATTAAAACGTTATTAACGTGCCTAAACTCAGTAATTCACCATTTCTACGCATGACAACACACTTTGTCCGTGTTTGGCTCTCTCGCCGCACAGTGAAGCGTTCCCGCATTGACGTCACTTCCGGCTTCCCCCAAAACTTCAAAATGAGTCGAAGGAATTTCCCCGCGATGTTCGAAATTATTGATATTTAACGGAACGGTATCGCTTTTTCTTTTTTAAACTGACGGTTCGAGATTACTAGTAGCCCAATATTTCATTGCACAACAGTTGTTGGGATGCTGTCACAGGCTCTTTAAGGCCATGTTTTATATTTGGACAGAACTCTTTTTACCCTTCATTTGAATTCAGTGGGACAACAATGACTGTACTCATATTTATGGTTGTTGTTATATATACAGCATTAGGGCTGTGAATCTGCCAACTAATAATTTAAATTCAATTCATGACTAAACTATTCATATTTTGGGCATCTCATTCAGCCTGAAGGAAAGTTTCCCACTTGAACTAACAATCTCAATTCAAGGACCAACTTCTGGTTTCTCTTGAGCAGTTTCACCTGGTCTAAGTAAACTTCTTCAGTATTGCAGATATCTCAGTGCAGTTAAGCTCATTCATGTGTGGGGATGTTGCGGAAATATGTTTTGGCCATCTGCTGTGAAAACCTGTGGCTTGACTTGAGGCTTATCAGAGGTGTGTTTGTTTATTATTTTGTGTTTCTGATTTTTTTTTTCTTCTGTTGAATGAAATGAAATTGCAATATCATTGACGATATTCGAGGGATTCATCCTTTTAACATGATTATTTTAATTTGAATGGAAAACCATTAAATGATTATAGTGTGATTTTTGGGGCGGCAAAGACTCCCCCTTTAATAAACATTGTGCTTCCTGCTTTTCTGCAATGCATAAGGAAATATTGTTAGGAATTGGATAAGACTTCGATATTTCTCAGCCCCTGTTTAATATATTTGATATGACCTATTTTACTCTTATTAAGGGTGGTACTGTATATTATCAACCTTAGCTTTGTCAGTTAGTTCACTTAGCTACAGTATATCAGGCAGTACTCAGTGTAAATATTTAGTAGCATCTAATCGCTACTAGACTAGTATTAGCTTGTGGGGGGATCCTGTCTTTACTTGGAGATCAGGGGAACACAGGGAAGGTGACTGCGGGATTATTTTGTTTACAATTGGAACAAATAACCTTGGACAGCATTTACAAATTGTTTAGTTTTTTTAGCCAAAAACGCAGCCTGTGGCGTGTAGTTTATGTGACTGGAGTATGTTGGGATCAGCTCTGTGTGAATACTATGATTAGCGCTGTAGATCAACTTGTTTCACCTTGGATTCCTCAGGTTCATATATTTTCCTCACCTAGCTAGTCCTATAGGAATATATTTGTTGTCATGGGAACTAACCAGGTCAGCCCTGAGTAACTCAAGGTGTGTGCTTTGTTTTCAACTTTTTGTCAGTTTTTGTTTTCTTTAGACTCATGACCACCACCATATATTACTCTTTTGTATTCTGCTTAATAAGATGACTGTTTTCATTGTTGTTATTTTGTAGAGAAAGTCCTTGCATAGCTCCACTCAGCTTTAACCTAAAACAGGACTATCCCCCGAGCCCTCCCTGTGCCTCGGGAAGGCTTAAGGTGCCGATCATTAACAACAATGCCGATGGTTTTGAATCTAGCCACACACCATTTCATCTCTCTTTCTGCCTCGTTTTCTATTATGTCTCCCGTTTCACAAATAATAAATTGCACAAAATGCGCACCATCCCCATAGGTGGGCTGTTCTGTTTTAAAATGCACTGCCATTTTGGAAAATGGTTGACAAGCTGTGATGTCAAGCCTCCAGGAAATGACTACACCTGGCCGAGTTATAATCCCTCATGTCAACTCCTGTAAATCTACAATTTGATGTATGTATGCTTTAGTTTTTTGTTATTATCGAAACAAATAAAAATATAACCAGTTTATTAGTGAGTTTTAGAGGTTCCCGGAAGACTGATTTTGTTGCTTTCTGAACATTTTATTTTTATTTAACCTTTATTTAACCAGATAAAAAGCATTGAGATAATATCTCAAAGCCAGGCTAGCTCTTTCCTCCTTGTACTATCTGTGTGCCAAGCTGAGCTAACTAGCCGCTGGCTCTAGCTTCATATTTAATGGACTGACATGAGAGATGTATTGATCTTCTCATTTACTTCTCTAAGAAAGCCAATATGTAAAACTATTCCTTCAAGGCATTGGAGTTGTCCTAAAGTAGACCAAGGCAATTTCTTTCCAGGCAAAGGAACAATTAGTAAAGCCTAATCAACGTCCTGTGATCACTTGTTTGGTACATATCAAATGTTTATAGAGTGTTAGTAGCTCAATAGTGAGAAAGTAAATTATTCTTCAGGCCAGTTAAATTCCTTATATTTTAAATGAGAAAGCAAAGG